GTATTTCACTGTACATAAATTATATTCCAATAAAATGCATTAAAAATAATAAACAAATAATAATAAACGGTAGGTGTTAGTTTTAATAGCTTTCATGTTCCAAAGAAAGGTGATCCAACAGAATGTAGAAATTATCAAACAGTATCATTAATATCCCACCACCTGTTCGTCAGTTTGTTGTACTGTAATGCTTTGTGTGTTTCTATGAGGCTGGAGGCTATGCCATTGGTATTTTAAATACCAGTAGGGTCATCCATGGTGGACAGGTTTCAGCAGAGCTTCCAGACTAAGACTGGGAAGAAGGAAGTGGTCATCCACTTCTCAAAGAATTGGCCCCCTTATGAATAGCAGTGAAACACTGTCTGATATATTACTGGAAAACTCTATGAATAGCCCTGAAACATTGTCCGATAGAGTGCTAGAAGATGAGCCCCTCAGGTCGGAGGGATTCAAAATATGACTGGGGAACAGCTGCATCCTCAGAGTAGAGCTGACCTCAATGATATGTATGGATGGAGTAAAGCTTCCAGGACCTTCATTTGCTGGTGTGGCATGACTCAAAATGGGAAGAAACAGCTACAAACATCCATTCATCATTGGAACATGGAATGTATGAAGAATGAACCTAGGAAAACTGGAAGTTGTCAAAAATGAAAGGAAGGCATAAACATTGATATCCTAGGTATTAATGAGCTGAAATGGACTGTTTTTGGCCATTCTGAATCAGAAAACCATATGATCTACTATGCCGGGAATGACAAATTGAAGAGGAATGGTGTGGCATTCATCATCACAAAGAATGTTTCAAGATGTATCCTGAAGTACAATGCTGCCAGTGATAGAAGGTCGCTATGAGTTGGAAATGACTCGATGGCAGTGAGTATGGTTTTTGGTTTTTACAAGGAAGACCAATTAATACTATTATTCAAATTTACGCACCAACCACCAAAGCCAAAGACAAGGAAATTGAAGATTTTTACCAACCTCTGTGGTCTGAAATTGACCAAACATGTTATCAAGATGTGTTGATTATCACTGGTGACTGGAATGCAAAAGTTGGAAACAAAGAAGAACCACTAGGTTGGAAAATATGGCCTTAGTGATAGAAATAACACTGGAGACCGGATGATAGAATTTTGCAAGACCAATGACATTCATGGCAAATACCCTTTTGCAGCAACATAAA